AGGAGTGGTTCTTTCCACTATGTATGTTCCCAGGGTTGAACTCCTCAAGCTTGGTGGCTGAGCTCTCTCTCAGCCCCTGCCTGTTGATTATTAAGTAAATGATTTTTTAAACCCCTGTGCTGTGGTAGAGATAAGTGCACCATGTCATGGAAGTTCATAACTGGAAGTGCTGTTTAGGGAGTTGGTATTTTACCTGAGAATTGAAGGACAGTAAGAGCAGCAGACTGGCCAAGCAGAGTGGATCACTTAAGGCTTAGAAGCAAGAGACATGGCCTTTTATGGAAAATGCAAGTTGGTCCTTGGTTGCTTTAGTGTGGTTGAGATAGGAGGTCAAACCAGGTGGGGAGAGAGATAATGCAGAGCTAGGTTATAGAAATCCTTATTTGAACTTCACCAGAATGCTGTGGGAAATATTAATGGTATTAAATAAAAAAAATCTTAATTACATGGGCCAGCACAATGACTTGAGATAAAAGCACTTGCTGTACAAGTGTGGCAACCTGAGGATCCCTGAAACCTGTTTGAAAAAAAAATTTATGCTATGGCTTGCATCTATAATCCAAGTATCTGCAGTGAGATGGGAGGAGGAAATAAGATACAGCTCATCTGAAGTGCACATGCGAAGTGTAGCTGCAGAATCAGGAGACACCCTGTCTCAAAGCAAGCTGGAAGCAGAACTGACACTCAAAACATTGTCCTCTGGCCCCGTTTTGTACATATGCACGTGCACGCACACACACACACACGCACACACATACACACTAATATAAATCAATCTTTAAAAATCATCCTAGGAGGCTGGAGAGATGGCTCAGCAGTTAAGAACACTGGTTGTTCTTACAGAAGTCCTGGGTTCAAATCCCAGCACCCACATGGCAGCTAACAACTGTCTCAGTCTCCAGTCTCGGGATCTGCCAGCCTTTCCTGACTTTCTTGGGCACTGCACAACATAGGTGTACTTACCTACACGCAGGCAATACACGCATACACATAAAAGTAATAAAAAAATTTTAAAAAATCATCCTAATTTGGCTCCACGGTTAAGAACACTGACTGTTCTTGCAGAAGACCTGGGTTTGAATCCCAGCACCCACATGGCAGCTAACCACTGTCCATAACTCCAGTTCCAGGAGATTCGACAGCCTCCTCTGTCCTCCTCATTGCACAACACGGGTGCACTTACCTACATGCAGGTGATACATGCATACACATAAAATAAGAATAATAAATAAAATATTTTAAAAAAAATCATCCTAATTCCATTTGTATTTGCAATGGATGAAGAAAAAGGTGCATTGCTGAATTTAGGGGAGACTAACAGGGAAGTTATTGGAGTAATTTAGGCAAAGCCTTAGTGATCTTTTTTCTTTTTAATCAGGATGGAGGCAAGGGGCATCTATTAATGAGATATACAAAATAACGCCTGTAGGTTGTTTGTTTGCTTAAGACGGTGTCTTATGTAGCACTTGGGAGGTACAGGCAGAAGGATCAGGAGTTTGCAGTACTTGAGACTGTATTCAAACAAAACAAGGAACCAGAAAGACCACTCTTGTTCACTGATACTCTGCTGACAGTCTCCAGGTTATTGGCTTGGCCAGTTAATGTGATTGCTGACAGTATTGGTCATTGAAATAGCAGGGCTTGGGCTTGGGGGAACAGTGTTAGGGAAGATGAATTCCATTTTGGAGATTTCAGTTTGAGATGCCATTGGAACAATCAGGCTGAGGTATCTAAATGGAAGCTGGAGCTAAGGTTCTGAATCCCAGAATGGCTTGACTTGGATATGCCTCTCTGACTCTTTAGCCCACGTTTGTGGTAGCACCATTTGCCTGCAAGGGGCTGGATGTTACTATAGTAATGGTAGGCAAAGGGACATGGACATGACCACCCTGCAGAGTGAGTGTGTATCAGAGTAAGAGGAGGTGTGTCCTGCCCAGATGGCAGCTCATGGCCTGTAATCCAAGTATGAGGGAGGAAAAGAGGTGTGTCTTTAGGTTTGTCTTTCAGTTCCTTTACTTCTGAACATTCTTTCCCATAACCTATCAAATCTCACTCTACTCCCACAAAACCCCAAGAAGTTGCTAGATGCTGTTCTTCTAATATTTGGTTAGTTTGGGATGAGATTAGCTATAAATAGTAGCTGTAGTCAGGTATGGTAGCTCACACCTGTATCCCAGCACTTGGGGGGTAGTGGCAGGAGGATCAGGAGTTCAGAGTCATCCTCAGCTACATAGGGAGTTCCAGGGCCGGCCTGGGCTACATGAGACCCTGTCTCAAAGCTGTCCCCCCTCCCCCAGTAATAATAATAGTAGCTGTATTGTCTCTTCATTCTGCTTCGACAACAGAACTGTACCTTGTTTGCTGTTGCCAGCCTATACGAACAAGTGAAAAATATAGGCAGAAAGGAGTAAAAGTCCTATAGCTGTTATTTATAAGATTTACTTTTAATTATGTATATCTGTGTGGGTGTACGCATTCTAGTACAAGTGCCTAAAGAGGTCATAATATCCCCTGGAGCTGGAGTTACAGATGATTGTGGATGCTTGGAACCATACTTAAGTCCTCTGTAAGAACAGTATTCACATTCAATCGCCGAGCCCTTAAAGCTGTTGTTATTAAGCTTTTAAAATTAGTGAGTGTTCACAACTTATACACTTTGTATAATATTTCCAAGTTAGCACTGACCTCAACCTGTAGTGTCCATTGTGTATGAGAGAACATGTTTTATAGAAGACCAGAGTGTTCTACATAGAAGGTAGCTTTGGAATTTATTGCATTCCTTGTTTTTTCTCCTGGATTTATAAAATGTGAATTATATGTGAGTCTGTCCCATCCAGTATCCACAATGGAGCAGGGAAGCAGTATGGATATTAGTTGATGGTGTTGCTAAAACAGAAGGGACAGTATACAACTGCTGTTCCTGGTCTGCTCCATTTATGAGGAGAGCATAAACCTAGAACTTTCTGCAACTTCTCCAGGTCAGGAAATGGGAAAGTTGTTTCAGTTCACACTCTTTTTTTTTTTTTTTTTTTTTTTGGTCTTTTTGAGACCAGTTCCAGCTGACCTGGACTTACTATGTAGACCAGGCTGGCCTTGAACTCACAGAGATCTGCCTGCCTCTGCCCTTCTGAGTGCTGGGATTAAAGGTGTGCGCCACCACGCCTGGCTCACACTCATTTTTTCCCCTCTTGCCAGTGCTCTTAATTAACATTCTGTAGCAAGTGACTGGATCCAGAGAGACAGGACCTGCACATGGAAAAGAATGAATGGGGATTATATTGTTTAGTGAGCTCCCTGTCCCTCTTTCACAGGGAAGATAGTGTGTCAAAGTGAGATCACCTGGCAAGTTACCATTTTAGGGGAAAGAATCATAATTGTCATTTTATGGAGCTTTAAGGGAGTCAGAATCCAGTTAGCTTCAGTTCTTCAACTGCTTAATGCTTTGACCTAAGGGGCTGTACGTCAAGGCTTTAATTGAAATTTTACTGACCCATTTTTGGTGAGATCACGTGGGGTCTCATTTACTTTATACAGATGTGTATTAGTGACATCTTGCACTTAGGTGTGGCATATGAGCACCTTTCAGAACCCTTGTTCAAAACAAGGGTTTTAGAATACCGTACTTCATAAATATTTATTGAATACCTTAACCTGCCAGGTGTGGTGGAGACGTAGAGTCTAATAAAAATCAAATTAGATAACTTTTTGTCTTGTCTTGGAGCTTCCTTTTTAAGATCTTAGAATTGAATGAGGCTAGTTCAGATAAGTTACCAGGTGGGAAAAGTTCAGAGCAAGCTCTTGCAGGTATGTGATCTCCCCGCTGCATGTTCTGATCCTACCCATCCTCATCTGAACCTGACTCAGATGGCAGCTTCCTGATCCCTTATCTGATCCTTCCAGCTGACATGTTCATCTATACTCTGAAACCCCATGCCGCTCTGTCTACAGTTAATGTCATCTTCCACTTTTTCTTTGTTTGCTGATAGTATATGCATTAAGTACCCCTTCCTCATCTGCAGCTCAAAGTTATTGAGCATAGTATCTATCTTGGTTTGTGGCATCCCACTACAGGCAGCAGGAGGGGGTTTGGAACTAAAGTGAACAGATAACTAGAAAATTTGAGTGTTGGCTTTTCTGTTAACTAGCTGTGTGACTGGAGGAAAGTCACTTAATTTCTATCTTTTATTATTTTTATTTTATGTGTATGTGTATATTTTATGTGAATGGTGTATATTGCCTGCATATAGGTAAGTGCACCCGTGTTGTGCAATGCCCGCGGAGGACAGAGAGGCTGTTGGATCTCCTGGAATTGGAGTTACAGACAGTTGTTAACTGCCACGTTGGTACTAAGATTTGAACCTGGGTCTTCTGCAAGAACAGCCAGTGTTCTTAACCACTGAACCATCTCTCCAGCCCCTAATTTCTATCTTTAAGAGTATAGTAATGGGGCTGGGTGTGATAGTGCACTTGGGAGGCAGAGGTAGGTGGAGCTCTGTGAGTTCAAGGCCAGCTTGGTGTATATAGTGAGTTCCAGGCCAACTGGAGCTGCAGGGAGACCCTGTCTCAAAAAAACCAAAAAAAAAGAGTATAGTAATGAGCTAAATATGACTCCGTGATAGAATGGTTGCCTAGCATTGATGAAGACCTGGGTTTAGTACTCATTAATGCATGCACATGCAGAGAGTAAACTAATTATCCTGAGTAGTTGTAGGGAGGCTTAACCTGAGAAAATATGTATGACCATACCTGGTAAATTCTAAATTTCTACACAAATATCTGTTAGTATATAATAAGTATTCAAGTAAGGTTTGCTTTAGTGAACACCTTTTCCTGTGTAGTTTTCTTACTTGGTGAAGTCTACATGATTTTGCAAATTCTCTAGACTAATTTTCCTGTGTTTTATTATTAAAATATTCAGTTCCATGGAATTGGCTTCCTCTTCACCCCCCTGTGGGCACTGTGTAATATTAAAGTAACAAATGACATTTGATCTGTTTCAGCAGGTGGAACATGGCTGATATGCAAAATCTTGTAGAAAGATTGGAGAGGGCAGTGGGTCGCCTAGAGGCAGTGTCCCACACATCTGACATGCACTGTGGGTATGGAGACAGTCCTTCAAAAGGTAAGCCAAGCCCAGCAGAATGCCTTTTATAGTCTTGGCCTTAATTTTTCTATCACAGTGACTTTTCTTCTTTGGAGCCAACCTCTCAAACACTTAGTCTAGGTAGTTCATCTCCTGTGAGCAGATAAGGAAGGAAATGACTTGTACAGGGAGGCCTGTGGTTAAGTAATTTTAACACAAGAAGTTCCTGCCTGTGTGATGTTTCCTGTTCTGTCTTTAACAGAATGACTCTAGTTATTTTGTCAAAATGGCAAGTAGTATTAAAGTTTCTTTCCTCTTTCTAAATGATTGGTCAACCAGCCATTTTGTACATACAGTAATTGAAAGAGAATGTTAGCACTAAAAGGAATAATCTTGGAGAATCATTGTATTTATTTTCATTTGTAGGTAAACAAAATTAGGCCCAGAGAGTCAGAGTATCCCACAGGCAGTTAGTGATGGTATGTGAAGGAGAGCCCTGCTTTTTGACTCCTGCTGTAGTTTTCTACGAACTGTATTTCATTGGCTTTGCATTTTCACATGGAAGTACACTTTACAGAAACATCTTTTGGCTGGGGAGACGGCTCAGTGAGTGAAGTGCTTGCCTGACATGCACATGTGAGGACCTAAGTTCTGATCCCCAGAACCCATTTAAAGATGGACAAAGTAGCCTGTGTCTGTAATCCCAGTGCTCCTGTGTCAAGATGGGAAGCACAAGAATGCTTAGAAGCTCCCAGGGTAGCTAGCCTGGTGTGTGTAGTAGCAAACAAGTGACACTGTTGCAAACATGGTGGAAGACAAGGACCAACTCTTGGGGTTATTTGACCTCCCCACATGCGTACTGGCCACACACATATGCACATACACACACACAGATTGTAAAAATCCTGCTGCATGACTGATTTCTTCTGGTGTATCTTGTCTTCCCCAGGAGAAGTTCCATTTGTGCAAGCATTTGACTTGCTGCTTGCCAATCCTGTGGCAGAGTACTTGAAGATGAGTAAGGCGATTGGGGGAGACGTGCAGAAACATGTAAGGATTTTAAGCCTTACCCCCTCCCCCCATTTAAAGACCAGTGGCTTTCTTCAGATTCTCCTCATCCTTAGTTTGAGAGCCCTTTGGGAGCTGGGTATAGTGGCATACATCTTTAATTCTAGTGCTTGGGAAGAAGAGGCAGGGGGATCTCTCTGAGTTTGAGGCCAGCCTGGTCTACATAGCAAGTTCCAGGCCAGCTCGAGTTACATAGAGAAACCCTGTCTCAAAAAAAGCCCCCTTGGGAGGCTCCTGGTTCTGTCTTCATTGAGGAACTTGGTTAAGGCACAGATACAGTTTCATTTTTTTCTAGGTCTCCTGTTTATATATGTATTGTCTGTATTTCTTTTATGCAGAAAGCATGTTTGTTCATAAAATACAGCTGTGCTTGTCTTTGTGGTGAAGAATATGCCAGCATTCTGATCCTTGTATGTTATGTAACCAAGCATAGGGTGGCTTATTCAAAAGAATCATTATCGTGACTTAGCATTTATAAAACCATGCTTGATAGTTATTAGCTATGCTAATATGGATTATTCTCATACTTAGTCCCCTACAAGAAATGAAGTAGGTAATGACAGATGCCTGTCCACCCACTTCCCTTCATGTACTGCCTCCTTACCAGCATCCCACACTTGCAGATCCAGAATGTTTCTGCTGGTCCACTGAATGATCCTCTATACACAGTAACTGTAGTCAGGATCTTTCAACCTAAACCCTTAGCCTGTCATACACTAGCTGTTGATAGTAGTCTCAGCTCTATGGAGTGGTGTTGGAACTTTCCAGTGGTGAGGAGTGTTGTTCCATGCTTACTTTATGTGGTTCTATAACATTTGAAAAAAATTTAAAAACATACCACTTTTGTCTTTGAAAATGCAAATCCAGCCCATCATCCTAGCACCTGAGAGGCTGAGGCAGGAGGATGCCTTGACTTTAAGATCAGCCTGAGCTATAGACTGAGACCCTGCCTTAAAACACCAATAAACAAAAAATTTAGGGACTGGAGAGATGGCTCAGTGGTTAAGAGCACTCAGTGCTCTCCTAGAGGACCTGATTTTGGTTCCCAGAACTAACATTAAGGGTCTCACAACATGTGTAACTCCTGCTCCAAAGAATCCTGTGCCCTCTTTTGGCATCCGCATGAACCTGTACACACATGGCCCACACACACGCACCGCACACATGCACACATTCACATGAATAAAAAAATAAAAAATTTTCATATGAGGCTGGAAGTAAAGCATTTGCCTAGCATACACAAAACTCTGGGTTCTCTCCTGCCTTAAACAAACAAGCAACAACAAAAACCAAGCAAACAAGCCCCCAAGTACTTCCCATGAACTTGTTAACCTGCCTTCACCTAAGAGTAGCCTTGATTATCCTCATTTCCAATTCTGGCTATAATGTCCCTACTTGGTTCCAACAGGAACAATAGTAAATGTTATTTTGGTATCAGTCTGTGGAATCTGGAATGCACAAGGCAGGCAATGTGAAGGACCTGATGTGGACATGGAGATTTTCTGTTATTCTTTTTTAAAATTTATTTATTTATTTATTTATTATTGTGTTTTTAATGTGATGTATGTGAGTGTATTGCCTGCATATATGTAAGTGCACCCATGTCATGCAATGCCTGAGGAGGTCAAAAGAGGGCATCAGATCTGGAATTGGAGTTATGGGCTGTTGTTAGCAGCCATGTAGGTGCTGGGAATGGAACATGGGTCCTCTGTGAGAGCAGCCAGTGCTCTTAGCCACTGAGCCATCTCTCCAGCCCAGTTTTTGGTTATTCTTATCAGGACCTCTTCAATTGTAATGTGTCATGAATAGCTGATTCTTCTCTTCTGCAGGCAGAGATGGTTCACACAGGTCTGAAGTTGGAGCGAGCTCTCCTGGTTACAGCTTCTCAGTGCCAACAGCCAGCTGGTGTAAGTTAATTACTAGATGGTTTAGTTTGCTTTGATGCTCAGGGAAAACTGGGAAATTGCTTCTAAGCTTTCACAACATGCTAAAGTAGACCTATCAGACTCAGGATAGTATACATTTATACCAAGCCCCAGGGGTAGGGCAGCCTTAAAGGGCCCTTATAGGAATATGCCTTAGGTTGTGACTGGTCTCTGTTGATCTTTTGTTTCTGTCATTTTCCTAGAACTTTAGTTGCCCCTGGGACTTTGCTATTTCTGTCAGTAAACAGCCTCCTTTATTATAGAGGTGGTTCTCCTGTTCCGTGATGGGTGGGTTTTAGTAAAGCTGTTGTACAGATCCTAAAACTTTTGAAGATATGTAATCCGCCCCCCCTTATTCTGTTTGACTAGGGAAGTTTTAACTTTACTCTTATTCAAAATTTTGTACTTCAAGACATTGAAAGTTGAATTAGAGAAAATTTAAAGTTTCTCAGAATGAAAGATTTTTGTTTCTTTTGTGTTAGTCTTCCTTAGACATAGAGGGATGATGCTAAAGCAAGCCTTCCTGCTTATCTCTGTTAAAGCCCTTCATCCTTGTCATGGCCTAAAATAATGCAAGATCATTTAATCTATTATAGTTTAATCTTTGATCTGTTTTGTGACTAAAAGGTTGTATCTAAGTTTTTTTTTTTTTTTTTTTTTTTTTTTTTTTTTTTTTTGGTCTTTTTGAGACAGGGTCTCCCTATAGCCCCAGTTGTCCTAGAACTCACTGTGTAGACCAGGCTGGCCTTGAATTCACAGTGATCCGCCTGCCTCTGCCTCTCGAGTGCTGGGACTAAAGGTGTGCCTAAGTCTTTTATAAACCCATACTTTGCCAAATAAATCAAGCAGCTGAAATATTATTGTATTTTGCTTGGTTTAGAACAAGTGTTGGCAAACCACAGCGTTTAAACCAATCAATCTTCATTATGTAAATGATTTGGGGTTTTTTATTTGTATTTGTTTGCAAACCAGTATTTACTGACTGGTCCTTCATAGAAAACGTTGTCACACTCGTGGTTAGACTGTTTTCATGGTAGGACCGAAGAACTAAGATGATCAGGATGCTTAGTTTTGAAGGAATGATCAAAACCAGAAACACAACCTAGGTTCATCCACTTTTTGCCAAGCTGCTCCCTTAAATGTCAGCATCCCTAATTGCATTTGATTTGCCAGATCTCTACTCAGCAACTGCTGTAGAGCTAACAATGTTTTGAGGGCTACAGTGATAATGGAGAACTGAGACAAAGCATTTGCCTTTGAAGAATTAATTTAAAAAAGAAAAACATTCACATCAGTAATCATGATATGCCATCAATCCCAGCATTTGGGAGGTGGAGGCAGAAGATCAAGAGGATTCCAGAATTATCCTGAGCTACATAGTGAGTTCAAGACCAGCCTGGCCTACATAAGACCTGTCAAGAGGCTAGGGGTGGTGGGGAGAGGCAGAGAGAAAGACAGAGACACTGAGAAACAAAGAAGGAAGGAAGGACATTCACATGGGTTCATTAATAGTTTGTGCTTTTGTGTGGTAAGGTGCCAGAACTGGTTAGACTGACAAATGATGTGTGGCTGAGTTAGAAGGGCTGTTCGTGAGCTCATTTGTATAAGTGGAAAAAGAGAACATCATCAGTGAAATTACAAAAATAAATGGCATCTCCTGTAAGTGGGACAGAGAAGAAACAAGGGGCTAAAACGGTGGGATTTTTGTGGTGGAATTGGAGTATGGTCCTAAACTTGACAATCACGAAGTCTAGACTGTGGAGTTGAAACTTTTTGCAGAAGTAAGAGATGAGCAATATTTCAGCCACATGATTCAAGGCAGGATGCATACAAAGATTTATTTTTTGTGCTCATTTTAGTCCATAAAAATTCTTTTTAAAAAATTTATTTTTGTTTTCATTGAATATTTGTGATTTTCATAAAATATAATTTGATTATATTTGATTGTATTTAAATCTCCTCCCCTCTTACCACCTCCCCTTATTGCCCTTTGTCCAATTGAATATATTATATATATAAGGCCTATAGAGCCTAATTTGTGTTCCAAATGTCCGTCAGTGCGGGTCTATCCACTGGAGCCTGGTTAACCTACCAAAAGTCCCATGTTTGAAAGAGACTCTCTCTGCCCCTCCCAGCAGCCATCTGTTGCCAAGTTTCCTTAGGTGGGGTTGGAGCTTCTTACCCACTTCCTCATGTCTATGCTGGGATCTTTTTCTGGTTTCAGCTTGCATGGGACTTGTGCATGCTGACACCATTGCTGTGAGTTCATATGAGTAACTGACTAGCTGTTTGGAAAGCTCTGCTTCCTTGTGGTCATCCACCACCTCTGCCTCTTAGAATCTTCCCACCCCTTCTTCCAAAATGATCGCTGAGCCCTGGGAGGCAGAAGTTTGATATAGGTATCCTATTCAGGGATAAGCACTTTGCAGCATCTTGTTCTCCACATGTTGGCCAGTTGTGGGTTTCTGTGTTAATCACTGTCCGTTGCACAAGGAAACTTCTCTTCTGGTAAGAGTTGAGAGGTGCATTAATCTATGAGTTTGACAATAAGTCATTAAGCATAAGTTTAATGTAATTATTTAGTAGAAAACTACTATTAGGTTCTCCCTGATGTCCTGTGACCTGTTTGGCCTCAGGTTCCTAAACCTGATATCAATGTCAGGCTCCATCCTGGGAAGACGACCTTAAATCCAATTAAAGAGCAGTTGGTTATTCCCATAATATTTGTGCCACTATTTCACCAGTGGGCACATCTTTGCCAGGCCAGTTGTTATCGTAGTCTACAGGATTCACAGTTGGGTAAGGATGATGATTATTTTTTCCTTCTGGTAGCTTGCATATCATCTTCCAGCACTATGAATGCTAGGCAGTAGATGTGAGGCTCTGAAGTTGGCACCAGCTTGCTTTCTCTTTGTTTGTTCTACAGTTCATGTATGTAGTATCTTCAGCAATAGGGTCTTACTATCCAGTTATGGTGGGTAACCAAGAGCAGGGGCAATGGCCAGTATTGTCAAAAAAATTCTTGCATTGCCAGTGTTCTCAACACTTAGGAGGCAGAGACAGGAGGAGGATCATGAATTCTAGGCCTGTCTGGAGTACATAGTAAAACACTGTCTCTATCCCCAAAAGGGGGAAAAACTTGCCTTCAAGATCAAAGTTGACCAACATATATAGCTCTTATAGAAGTAGTCTGACTAATCTTTTCCTGTCTCTGCTCATAGAATAAGCTTTCTGATTTGTTGGCACCCATCTCAGAGCAGATCCAAGAAGTGATCACCTTTCGGGAGAAGAACCGAGGCAGCAAGTATTTCAATCATCTATCAGCTGTCAGCGAAAGCATCCAGGCCCTGGGCTGGGTGGCTCTGGTAAGCAGCACAGCTTCCAGAAGAGGGAAGGGATGGATTAGAAGGTGTGAGGTGTTGTGGCTGGAGAGGCTCTCAGTCACTGACTGCTTCTTTCTCCCCAGGCTGTTAAACCTGGCCCCTTTGTGAAAGAAATGAATGATGCTGCCATGTTTTATACAAACCGAGTACTCAAGGAGTACAGAGATGTGTAAGTCTAGCCTTTCTTCAAGTGGTAAAGGACAAACCCAGATGGCTTCTTCCTAGCGTGACACTTTGGGGTTAATTACACTTGTTCCTGGCTTCTGTGCTGTTCTCTCATTTCAGGGCTGCTTTGTGGACAGCCCGAGAGACAATGGCTCATAGAAACTGCATTTGCAAGCAGGAAATATTTCTGCTTCCATTTCTTTTTCCTCTGTGATGGGTAGAGGCCCTTTCCTAATCCTTACCTTTTCCAGGTTTGGGGTTTATGCTGGAGGTAACCTGGACTAAAGCCCTTTAAGTTGCCTGTTTATACCACATTTTGTTTCTCTATTGAAAATGTCTCACTGGTGCTATGACAAAGGTTCGGTAGGACTTAACTAGGAAATTACCCTGCATATTCATGTGTTCAGGTAAAGTGACAGTAAGGCTGCTTAGCCAACATAGGTGTTAAGTAAGGGAGCCATTGTATTTTAACCACAGAAGCCAGTCCTGTGGCCTCTTTCTTGCTAATTTTAAGCTGGAATGACTATAGTTACTCGGCTTTATAACTATCCAGATGCTTTTATCTGATCATCATCATTCAGCCTGACATTTGTTGTCTGCACAAGAAATAGTCTTCATTTGTATGAAATGTGTTCCACAACACTACACACTTTCTTCAGTACTTCTAGAAACCTAGAATTAGGCACCACCATGTTTTTAATTCACCCTGTTATTTTATAGTTAAGGAACTGGGTTTTAAGGTTAAGTAGTCACAAAGTCTTCCAGCAAATAGAAAGAAAGAGAAGGGATTCTGGGCCATAACATAGTGTTTCTTCTGTAAGTAAAGATCTTTCTTCCTTCTAAAAAAGATTAGTTGGAGTTGGGGGAGCATATTTTGACATAAGGCACTGGTCTCATGGACTCCCTCTGTTCCATGGCAATACTTAGTAACTGTCTTGGCTCTACTCTGGCTTCCTGTACAAAATGCCCGTTTTTACCACCTTGCTGTTAGGGTCTGCCTATGGTGTGCTTTGAAATAATAGTTGTGTTCCTAAGAAGATTGACAGACATTGCATTAAGAGATAGAGATAGAGTTTGGTCTAGTTAGGGTAATAGAGTAAGGTTTTGGTTTTAGTTTTGGTTTTGTCTTTGTTACTGTTTTTTTAAAACTTCATTAATGATAGGGGAGCTGCCACTGAGCAGAGCCTAAGAAATGCCACAGGAGGAAGAAGTGAGCCTTCAGGCAGGAGGGATTCTGAGTCACTGTTGTAATAAACTCTGAAAATTATTTTTAATTTTCCCAGGGATAAGAAGCATGTGGATTGGGTCAAAGCTTACTTAGGTATATGGACAGAGCTACAGGCATACATCAAGGAGTTCCACACCACTGGCCTTTCCTGGAACAAAACGGTTAGTGAGTCCTTCTTCTCTTCTCTTTCTCTCCCCAGGATAGGGTTTTTTAGACTTAAGAGTTACCAAGGTGGGGCTAGAGAGATGGCTCAGAGGTTAAGAACATTGGCTGCTCTTGCAGAGGACTCAGGTTCAATTCCCATCACCCACATGGCAGGTAACAACTATCTGTAACTGCAGTTCCAGGGGATCCAACACCATATTCTGTCTTCCTTGGGCATTGCATGCCCTGGGTATACTTACACACATGCAGGCAATACACTCATACACATATGATAAAAATAATAAAATAGGGGCTGGAGAGATGGCTCAGTGGTTAAGAACACTGACTATTCTTGCAGAAGATCCGGGTTCAAATCCCAGCACCCACATGGCAGCTAACAACTGTCTGTAACTCCAGTTCCAGGGGATCCGACAGCTTCTTCTGTCCTCCATGGGCATTGCACAGCATGGGTGCACTTACCTACATGCAGGCAATACACGAATACACATAAAATAAAAATAATATAAGTGTAGATACACATACACACACATGTACATAAATTACACATGTGCATAATTTTTTTTTCTTAAGATTAGTGCTTTATTTTCAAACTTTATATATCAACTTTAAATGGAGGGAAGGAAGGCTAGAGAAATGGTTCGGTGGTTACAAGCACTTGCTGCTCTTGCAGAGGACCTGTGCTTGGTTCCCAACATTCACATGGTAGCTTACAAGAGTTTTTAACTTGACTTCTAAGGGATCCAACGCCCTCTTCAGTCCCCCCAGGGCATTGCATGACATGGATGCACTTACATACATGCAGGCAATACACTCATACAAAATAAAAATAATAAATAAAATATTTAAAAAATAATAAAATATTTTTTAAAAAGAGTTACCAAGGCAAGAAAAGGAAAGGAATGTTGTTGTAGGAGAGAAACAAAAAGGAAAAAGAAAAGAGCAAAGGAGGAGCACTGAGTTCTGGGTAGTCTGAGAAGGGTGTGCTCTTGTATCCATCCCATGCAGGCCCTGAACTCATTGTGTAGCTGAAAGTGACCTTTGACCTTCTCACCCTCACACTTCCACTTCCCAGGTGCTGGGATTACAGATACACACCACCATGCCCAATTTTATAGAGTGTTGGGGTTTGAACCCAGGGTTTCATGCGTGCTAGGCAAGCACTCTACCAACTGTGCTATATCCCCAGCCCCAAGTTCTAGTCAGTTTTACTAAACACAGGTCAGGACAGTGACTGGTGCTGGAGGGGAGACACAGATGAATGGGTCACACCAGCCCAGTTCTCAAGGAATTTAAGAATATATATATGGGACTGGATAGATGTGGGTGCCCGCTGCTCTTCCAGAGGACCTAGGTTCTTTTCCCAGCACCCACATGGCAGTTGACAGCAGTCTAATTCCAGTCCCAGGGGATCTGGAGCCTGCCCTCATCTGTCCTTCTTGGGTATTGTATACATGTAGTGCACTTACATACATGCAGGCAAAACATTCTTACATATAAAACTTTTTAAAAAATGAATAAAAATAACATTTTTAATTTTTATTTTATGTGTATGTGTGTATTGCCTGCATGTAGCTAAGTGCACCCGTGTTGTGCAGTGCCCTCAGAGGTCAGAAGAGGCTGTCAGATCCCCTGGGACTGAGTTACAGATCGTTGTTAGCTTCCATGTGGGTGCTGGGATTCGAACCCGGGTCTTCTGCAAGAACAACCAGTGTTCTTAACTGCTGAGCCATCTCTCCAGCTCCACATGGAAACTACTTTTTTTAATGTTTAAATACAGATACTACATGTGCACATGCACACAAAATACAGATAGAAGGACTGGAGATATTGGTCAGTTGATAAGAGTGCTGGTCTAGCATGCTTGAAACCTTGGGCTCAGTCTCCAGCACCCAATAAAACCAGGCATGGTGAAACACACCTGTTATCCCAGCACTGGGGAGATGGAGGCAGGAGGACCAGAATTTCAAGGCCATTCCTTGGCTATATAGTTCCTGGCCAGCCTGGGATACATGAGACCCTTTTTAAAAAATGTGTAAATAGATTTATCAGCTTACATCACACAGCCAGTATTTCAGAGACAGGTAGGCATGGTGGCAACACACCTTAATCCCAGCTCTCCAGAGGCAGAGACAGATGGATCTCTATGAGTTCCAGACCAGGCAGGGCTACATAGTGAGACCCTGTCTTTGTATGTATGTATATAAATGTATTACATGCGTGTATGTAAGTGTACCTGTGTTGTGCAGTGCCCGTGATATAAAAAGAGAGCATCAGATTCCCCTGGAACTGGAATTATGGACAGTTAGTAGCTGCCATGTGGGTTTTGGGAATTGAACCCAGGTCTTTGGCAAGAACAGCCAGTGTTCTTAACCACTGAGCCATCTCTCACCCCCACTCATACCTTGTCACAAAACAAACAAAAACCAGAGACAAACCCCTAATATAAATTACCAGGCTAAATTCGATAATGAATATACAGACCACAGAGAATAAGGAAAAGTGTAGTGATTCTACCTGGGAGAGATTGTGCATTGAAGAGGTAAGTTCTGATCTGAGATGTGAAAGAAATACAAGACAGTGAATAGTGGCAAAAATGGAGATACAGCAGAGGGCACAGCCTAATAATGTAAGTGTAGAGATTGTTCATATCTGACTTCAATAAGGGGAGATGGGCGGAAGCATGTTGGAGAATAGGAAAGTCAGGCTGACTTTGGGGCACTGTATTTGAGTAAGGGAGTGATAGTGATTATATTCGTCTGAGTGTATAGGCTCAGGATAAGGACCCTGGTTATCCTGTGGGAGTGGTCATGGTATGACCCGGGCTGACAGCTGATAGAAAAGCATTTGCAGGAGATAGCACCAAGATAATAGATTTAATGAAGTCAGAGGAGTAGGAAACGTCAAAGAAATGGAAGAGTCAGGCTTGGATGGTGACGTCTTGTTGGAATAAGGACCAGGGGATGATTGTTTAGGTTAAGAAGCAGGCAGGTGATGGCGCAATTACTTGTGAACTTGTTGACTCTGAGGTACTGGTAGTTTTAGGAGTAAGGGTTTACAGCTAGAATCAAATGAGGCCAAAGGAAAAAAGTATAGACTGAGAAATACAGCTGTGAACTGGGTCTTTGGGAAAGGGTAAGAAGTAAAAAGCCAAATGTGAATGTAGTGATAGCTATAGAGGGGGCTCATGTGCACTGGGCACAGGAAAGGCCCTCCTGGGAGTGTACAGAAGGAAGAAGATGACCATATGACCTGCCCTTGCTGTTCTAGGGGCCTGTGGCAAAAGAACTGAGTGGATTGCCATCTGGACCATCTGTTGGATCAGGCCCCCCCCCCCCCCCCCCCCCCATAGCGCCCAAGTCCCTACCAGTTCAGGCTCCGATGACTCTGCTTCCCGCTCAGCATTGTTTGCGCAGATTAATCAGGGGGAGAGTATCACACATGGTGAGTACTTTGGCATGAGCATTTGTTACAACAAATTGGATTAAACTTCATCAACCAGACATGATAGTGTGTAAACCAGAACCCTGTCTTGGATGTAGGAACATTCATTTGAGGTGTCACTTTTCTCAAGTTACCCAAAAAGAGAGCCAACCTGTTAAGTCGAAAATAAGGGTTGGTGAGATGGCTCAGCAGGCAAAGGCACTCTCAACACAAGCCTGGTGACTTAAGTTCAATCCCCAGAAACATATAAAAGTGGAAGGAGAGGATCAACTCCACAGAGTTGTCCTCTGACCTCCACACATGCTCTCTGCCATGCTTACCACCCTCCTCCCACTTAAATATGTAATTTTCTTAAAGTAGAAATTAAAAATGGGTGATGAGTCAAGGTCACTAGGTAGCATCTGCAGAGCTGCTTCGGCCAGCTCCTGGTACCGCACCTTCTCTGGGAGTCATTGTATTGGGATGCTAACTTCTCAGAGGATGGAAACTTGTCACATGGGAGGTTTATATAAGAGAAACCTACTAATCTAGAGCAAGTTAGACGCTTTTACACAACTGGTGTAATTCTACATTGTATAGCCCTTGGCTAGGAATCTACTCATAAAAATAGCTAAAACAGTCTTATATAGCAGCTAAAAATGGTGTAAGGACCAAAACATCCAGGAGTAAGGGAAACAGCTAGTTAGCTATGTACATCCTCTCGATTGGATATTGTGCAACTATTAGATTATTTTCCTACAAAGGAATCATGCAGTGTTCAAGGGGAGAAAATTTGGTATTTAAACTACAACCTCTGCCAGGTGTGGTGGAGCACACCTTTGATCCCAGCATTTAGGAGGCAGAGGCAGGCAGATCTCTCTGAGTTCAGGGCCAGCCTGGTCTACATAGTGAGTTCCAGGCCAGCTAGGACTACAGAGAGACCCTGTCTTAAAAAGACCAAAAAAGAAATAAATAAATAAACTGCAACCTCTTTGAGTGAGGTCTGATTTTACTAAATTTTCTTTACTGTCATATAGTTTCCCTTTTTGTTACAACATTTGTAACAAACCAAACCAAAACCAAACCATTCTCTGCACCTAAACCCCAGTCTAGCCCATCTGTATATTTGGTACATACCTTTCTCAATCTTTTTTGTGCATTTACCTATCCTTTCTCCTTCCCCACCTTCAACACACACATTTAAAAAAATAAAACCATTTAACTGGAGAAACAAGAGAAATTGTAAGACTACTTCTCCAAAATTGCTTGCAAGATAACATCTCCAAAGCTTGAGGTCTTGGTAAGGACCATTGATAGCAGACTCGTTTATTGCTACAGCCTAAACTCAGGTATGAAGAACAGGAACAAGCTAGCTGTTGTTCTTTCAGCCCTGAAACATGTATCTGATGATATGAAGACTCACAAGAACCCTTCCCTGAAGGCTCAGAGTGGTCCAGTACGCAGTGGCCCCAAACCATTCTCTGTACCTAAACCCCAGTCTAGCCCATCTCCTAAACCAGCCTCAAAGAAGGAGCCACCTCTGCTGGAACTGGAAGGCAAGAAGTGGAGAGTGGTGAGTTGAAAGAATTTGGTCTCCCAGGGAGGAGGAAATAGGAACAGGGGTTTAACAGAGTTTAGCTCCATGAGCACAGGGTTCCAGCTTCTGGTGTGAGAACAAAGGTTAGGGATGACTCACTGTTTTTGTTGGTGTGTGCTAAGAATCCTGGGGTATGTCTTCAACAGGAAAACCAGGAGAATGTTTCCAACCTGGTCATTGACGACACTGAGCTGAAGCAGGTGGCTTACATATACAAGTGTGTCAACACGACATTGCAAATCAAGGGCAAAATTAACTCCATTACAGTAGGTGAGTCTGTTGCCATCCTAGGCAGGTTCTGACCTAAAGCCTGAGAGGGCTAGAACCATTTTTCTTCTCTTTCGTAATTCTTTTAAAGTTGCACTGCTGATCTGCTTCTTTTCTCCTAGATAACTGTAAGAAGCTCGGCCTGGTATTTGATGATGTGGTGGGCATTGTGGAGATAATCAATAGTAGGGATGTCAAAGTTCAGGTAACTTGATATCTTGGCTCTGTCTTTTGGTCCCTCAGGAATTCATTAAAGGAGACACAGCAGGCTCACAGATGTCACAGGAATCTGATTCTACAAAGTCTGTAAGCTGAGCTGCTCTGGATGAGGCTAAAGAGTTGGCCCTTCAAGGGAGCTCTTTCCAGGACCCAGCCCAGCCCGCCCCCGTTTCTCCTGTCTGTTGTGCACCTGGGGCTTTCATGAAGTAGTGGAGTCACTTGAAACAGTGAAAGCTCTCCTACAGCTTGCTGTTGTCTCCCTTTCCAGCAGGAACTCAGTTGTCTTGGTTCCCTACAGGTGATGGGGAAAGTGCCAACCATTTCCATTAACAAAACAGATGGCTGCCATGCTTACTTGAGCAAGAATTCCCTGGACTGTGAGATAGTCAGTGCCAAATCTTCTGAGATGAACGTCCTCATTCCTACAGAAGGTGGTGACTTTGTAAGTTTCTTTTTTCTTTCTTTGACAAAAGGTCTCATATTCCAGGCTGGCCTGAAACTCTTGGCAGTCAGGGTCCCTCTACCTCCCGAGTGCTAAAATACATGCAGCACTGGGCCCGGTTTATTTGGTTCTGCAGACTGAAGCCAGGGCTTTATGTATGCTAGGCGTTAACCCTACCAACCAAGCTACCTCCCTTAGAACAATGTTTGGAAAAAAAAAAACAGCGATAAATTGGGCCTGATGGTGTACACCTGTATTCCCTGTACTTGGGAGGCTGAGGTAGAGTTTTGGGTTTGAGGCTCTTATGACCCTGTCTCAACTGAAAAGAGACTGAAGACTTCTTCCATTATTATTATTTGATGGACATTTGGCATTGAAGAGGTAAAACCCAACAATTCACAACAAAAGCAACACACAGAAACAAGGTAGTCCTATGAAGTGGGGCTCCCGTGGAGGGTGGTTCTGCCCCCCCCCTTAAATTTTAGGAGCGTTTTACCTGCATGTATGTATGTAAGTGCTCATCTGTCATGCAGTGCCTGCAGAGGCTGAAAGGGGCTGTCAGATCCCCTAGAACTGGTGTTATGGACAGTTGTTAGCTGCTGTATGGGTGCTAGGAACCAAACTGGGGTCCTCTGAAAGAGCAGCCAGTGCTTTTAACTGTTGAGCCATTTCTCTAGCCCCTTTCTGCCTTTCTTAAGTTGAGCTCGGACAGTAAAAAGTAAGAGTGCTAGCACCCTGCCAAACTGGTATTCTAGAGCTGTTGTTCTAGAGCTGTTCTCTGGTTTTGTTTACATCTCTCCAGGATCACAGATCACTAAACAATGAATGGTGCAGCATGGCTGGGTGGGTTGTTTGGCTCCATCCTACCCTACTTTCAAGGTTAAGTAGTAGCATCGGGAGAAATGGGAGGTTTAGCTGCAGTTCGTTCTTTAGCCCAGATTCTAACCTGCTACCTCTTTTTTGCAGAATGAGTTTCCAGTTCCTGAACAGTTCAAGACCCTGTGGAATGGGCAGAAGTTGGTCACCACAGTGACGGAAATTGCTGGATAAGCGAAGTGCCATTGGGTCCTATGCCCTCTTCACTCCATGGGATAAATCTGTATCAAGACGGTTCTTCTTCTAGATCTCCTCTACCTTTCTGCTCTTAAACTGCTTCTCTGCTCTGAGAAGCCCAGCTACCTGCCTTCACTGAATATACCTCAGGCTGAGATTTGGGGTGGGACAGCAGGGCAGTGGATCTTCGGCAGGAAGGTGCAGCTTCTCCGCATCTGCGCAGCTGCACTGCCAGTCCGTTCTTAAGGAGCTGCAGGCCCAGACCAGGGCACTGACACGGTCAGCTTTGGGGGTCGTTCTGCCAACGAACAGTCCTTTGGGAAAGACAGTCTTGGGAATCAAGAGCTCAGAATACATACTTAATCTTTTCCTAACAGTGAGCGTGATGGGAGCAGGAGCTGATGTGGCTCCAAAGGGTTTTTCTAACCAAACTAATTTTTTGCCATTGACAAGTGAGGCCAGGGTTGCACTGGACCAAAAGCTGAGGCCTGGCTATCCCGCATTCCAAGCAGATTCGTTTCCTAAAAGCATTCCTTCATTCAGCATTCCATCCAGGGTCCCCCTCAACCATGAGCTAGGAGGCTGTGCACTCCAGCTGCAGTAGCAGTCAGTACCCTGGTCTCTAACCCTTTTCCTCTGGGCTGCCTGCCTAGTACCTTCCTGTGGGGACAACCTAGAAAAGTGAAAAACAAGGAAAAGCAACACAGCATTCCAAGGAATCTGGTCTTCCTCCTCCCTGCCAGGGTCCTCTCAAGGTCTCCACAGCCTCCTCCTGCCTGTCATGCTCAGCAGCTTAGAGCCTCAGTGTAGGCCTGAGCAGAGGACTAACACCTCCACTGCAGGCTGTTTAGGGCTTGATTTACATAAGAATCTTGTACAGCATTGCTATTGTAAATTCCAGTTCTCCCACATGACCAAAATATGCAACTTTTTTTTGTTGGGAAGAGAGATTGTCCTGTGACTTCTACCCATTTCCTGAGGCCTGTGGAAATAAACCTTTATGTACTTAAAGTTATACAGAAAATAGAATAAAATTAATACCAAACTTGCTTAGTTATTTTATGTTTTCCATATAGAGATGAAAAATGTTGAAAATGACACCAAGTATAAGAAACCACTGTTGATTTTAGGCAACCTCTTCAAGTTATTTTCACATCTTCCCACTTAACCTTCCATCTTTTATTTGAGGAATAGGTTTGAGAAAGGAAAAGGAAAAAAAACTAATAAAGGGAACACTAACAAGGTGCCTTCATGACAACAGTCTTTTCTCCAAAGTAGCACTCCATAGAAATCACCCGGAAAGGCTTGGTAGGTCTTCAGAGTGGGGACTGAAGATGCCATGCTCAATGTAGGAAATGTGGATTAACGGTTAGTTTTAAGTAACCAGTAGGAGTAATCCTGATGAGTTGGTCTCCAAGAGAGAACAGGAAGTATATTCCTCAAGCTTTTGGAGCAAAACCAATCTTTTTTTTCACAATATATCAGCAATGGTTTGGAGTATGCTGGTAGGCAGGATTTAGGAGACAGAAGTGTAAAAGCCTCTCAAATCATTCCTCACATTCTGTGCTGAAGTCAGCAATGGTATAATCAGCATATGGAACACTTGTCATATTAAGGGTACTTAGGGATGGAATGGGATGAACCAGCTACCTCGTCTTCATGTCCATTCCCCTTTTCATCACTGCCTCCCCCACTAAAGCATATAAGATGCACACTTCTAATAGGGGTGGTGTAGCACGTGCCTTTAATCCCAGCAGTAAGGAAGATCTACATAGCAAGTTTCCGGCCAGCCAACACTGCATTTAAGATCATGACTCAAAAAACCCATATTTCTCCTCTTAAGCAACCCAGTTGACTACTACTTCCCTCTTTTGTAACTCATTACTGAGGAAACAAAATGGGTTCTGCAGGGAAAGACAGTAGGCCTGTGGAGTAATCTTATGTACCACAAGAAAGCAACATACTTAAAAGAAAATAGCCTTAAAAAGTTATGCAGAACATTATCAAAGCAATACTCTTCAAGCACTGTCTATACCAGTAACGCAACATGTGAGCATCTCAGGGCTGGACACCACCTCCTTTTTATTTGTTCAAAATTTGGGTCAATTTTTACCCTCAATCTGTTCAGTTTATTCAGTCTTCTTTGGGCCTGGGCACAATCATTGATCTACAACAGCAGATTCCCTTTCTTAAGACAAAGCTTGACCATATCATAAGGTTGTAAAACAATTTCCATGGTTATGGTTATTAGCTAATTAGACTTGAATTCAACACGATGTGGTGATAGGAGGCAGCAAAGGACAAGATTCAGATCTTAGATCTTTCCAACTAGGGCATGTTAGATGGTAACAGGAGAGAAAGACTGGTTGGAAGCTGGATCAGCGTTCAGGATTGGCTGTGAACTGTCCATATAGTTTGAAGATCCAGGGTCTCCTGAGTACTTAGAAACTACAAGGGCTTCACTTAAGAAAGGGTATGATATGGGCATAAAACCATTCTTCATTCAGCTGAAGATGGTCCCCTTCTGTAGCCAAAAACACTAGCTTCCCTGCTTTGTCCATTTCCTTTAGTCCCAGGCGGTCCTGTAAAGAGAGGCCACAATTAGCTTGAGGCATAATGAAAGGTTTTAAAAGACTAAAATAGGTGATCGAATGATATACAGTCTCAAATTACACTTCCCTCCGAGTATTAAAGTAGAGGTATGAGCCAGGCATGGTGGCACAGAGGCAGGTGATCTCTGTGAGTTCAAGGCCAGCCTGGTCTACATAGTGAATTCCAGGCCAGCTGGGGCTATAGGGAGATCCTGTCTCAAAAACAGAAATAGAGGTGTATTGCTAGGATACCTCCCCTTCCAATTTTCATTTTTTAGTTCTTTTTTTTGGAGACAGGCTCTTACTATGTAGCCACAAACATACAGCAATCCTGGCCCAACCTCTTGAGTGCTGGGATTCCAAGCATGTACTAACCATGCCTGATTCCTTCAGCTACTTCTAAGCATTAAAAATGCATGTGCAGCTGGGCGTGGTGGTACATGCCTGTAGTCCCAGCACTTGGGAGGCAGAGGCAGGCAGATCTCTGAGTTCAAGGCCAGCCTGGTCTACATAGTAAGTTCCAGGATAGCTGGGGCTACAAGGAGACCCTGTCTCAAAAAGACCACAAAAAAACTAAATAAAAAATAAAAATACAGCTAGGTGCGGTGGCACATGCCTTTAATTCCAGCACTCAGGTGGCAGAGGTAGGTGGATCCGGTCTACATAGTTCCAGGCCAGCTGGGGCTGCAGGGAGACCCTGTCTCAAAAAAGCACCCCCCCCAAGAATGCATGTGCAATTGAGATAGTTCTTGTTAGAGCCTGTCCTTGTCCCCATCGCACATAGCAGAATCAACCTGGGTTCTCTTACAAGCTCCTGAGTTACATCCCCAGTACTTGTATTCTGCTTTCTGAAAAGCTTCCCAGAGATGGAAGGCCACCTGTTGGTGGGTAAGCCACGGAAAGACCTGGCTCAAAACATCATAGGACTAAGCCAAAGATGGGAGAAAATTAGCCAAAGCATGTTTTAAAATAAAACACCCAATTCTAGAGCCGGGCATGGTGGCGCACACCTTTAATCCCAGCAGAGGTAGGCAGAGGCCAGCCTGGTCTACATAGTGAGTTCCAGGACAGCTGGGGCTACTGGGAGACCCTGTCTCAAAAAGACCAAAAAACAAACAAGCACGTACCCAGTTCTTAGGATAATGAACTTGGGACACTGATATCCCACAGTTGCACAGTGCCATCACCCAGTGGCGCAGCAGCCCTCCTGCTGGGAAGGTGAGAAGCTCTGGCAGTGCTAGAAGGTGCTTCAGCTGGCTCTACAGTCAGTTTGAGTCTCACAGTAAGGAAGATCCTAGCTGTAATTTTCAAAACTTCATCAGAACCTTTTTTTTTTCTTTTTTTTTTTTTTTTGGTCTTTTTGAGACAGGGTCCCCCAGCAGCCCCAGCTGGAACTATGTAGACCACACTGGCCTTGAATTCACAGAGATCAGCCTGCCTCTGCCTCCCGAGTACTGGGACTACAGGTATGCGCCACCACGCCCAGCCAAAACCTATTTTTATGTCTACCTCACCAAAGCTGGGGCACCAAATGCATGAGAAAAGAGAAAAAAAATGCCACTGAAATTCTGTGGGAAGAATTTTGGTAGAAGGTGGTTCAGATGTAACATTTGTGCATTTGTGAGAGGACCCATCTCCAATATAAATTCTTAAGTTTGTGACAAGTCTATAGCTGGATTGATGAAATACTGCAACTTCTGCTTGAGAAATGGGATCTGCTGAACAGAATTCACAACTAGTCCTATTTCAGCCTTGCAATAGGAAGATTGTCAATGCCAGATTTATTCCTTGTTTTTTTAAAAATATATCATTTTTATTTTATGTGTATGAGTGTATTGCCTGCATGTACATGAGTGAACCTATGTCGTGCAATGCCACAGAGGTCAGTAAAGGGCATTGGATTCCCCTGGTACTGGAGTTAGGATGGTTAGTAGCTACCATGTGGGTACTGGGAATCAAACCCGGGTCCTCCACAAGCAGTCAGTGCTCTTAACTGCTGAGCCATCTCTCCAGCCCCCTATTCTCTGTGTTTGGTACTGCGGAACAGGCCTCACATGCTCAGTATGAGGTCTATCAGCAAGGTTTGCCTCCTGCATTTATGACTGCAGTAGTGTAGCACCTCTCTTCCATGTTTTCATTTACTTAGAGGCTTCTGGGATTTGTAGCAAACTACCTCTGCACAGGAAGCCGGTTCCAGACCTGTTCTTCAAAAATAAAACGATAGAGGGCTGGAAGATGGTTCAGTGGTTAAGAGTGCATACTGCTCTGACAGGGCCCAACTTCAGTTCCTAGCACCCATGTTGGGCAGTTCGTAACCACCTGCAACCCCAGGTGCAGAAGATCCAACACCCACTTCTGGCCTCCACAGGTACCTACACATAAGTGTATACTCACACTCAGAAACACACATATACACATAGGTCTTACCTTAGGATATTGTAAATTTCTATAAACCAGCATCTGAGAAATTAGTGTGACCTAAGTCAGATGTCCCATGAGCTCTTAGAGCTCTGGGGCAAAGCAGGGGTCTAGCACCAGAGAAGCCAGCAGCTTCAGGAGCCAGGGCTAACAGAGGCAGTGCCAACCTCCCAAGATTGATCTCTCCTTCCCTGTTACCTCTGTGTATAGAGTGGTCTCCTGGAGGGGAACAGTTTCTTTGGCCTGGCCACTTCTATAAAATCCAAACCACTGCAGGAGAGAAGGAAGTATAGATCAGATGTGGGCACTATCCAGCACTCTGTCAACTCATTTGAGGCTGGCTAGTACCTAAGACCAGCAAGATGAACATCATCATATCCTACACAGCATAAGAAGAATGGGCAAGTGGAGGTTTTGGTTTTCAAAACCATTTTGGTGGCCTGGAACTCACCATGTAGCACAGGCTGGTCTTGAACTTGCCATTTCTTTCTTAGCCTCCCGAGTGCTAGGACTATAGGTGTGTGCTATCATGCCTAGCCTAAACGTTATATCTGAAGCCTCTCATTGTAAAGGTTAATCCTGAGGGATGAGCCAATTTCTAACAGTTTTCCATTTCCCCATAACTTCTGCTTCCTTCTCTAATTGTGCATCAATCCTGAAAATCCCTGTGCTGAACTCTAGTCATTCAAGGATGACTATATGAGCCCTTTTTCCAAGAAGCTCCAGTCTAGCATGGCTAGCATGGCATACAACAAATGCACTGCTTAGACATGGTCAACAGACTTTTCTGTAAGGGCCAGATACAATATATTTTAGGCTTTAAGGACCGTGCAATTTAACTAATTGTTCCCATTGTGACAAAGGAACAACAGTGTAAGAAATGAGTATGACTATTCTAATGAAATTCATTTCCAGACATTCAGCTTTCGTATAATTTTCATAGCATAAAGTATTACTTGGATTTTCCCCCCACCATTTTAACATAAAAATTCTGAGCCACAGACCATTCAGAAATGCAGTTGGTAAGACGGCCTTCCCCGCCATGATCTGACAGGATCAGCAGAGCTTTAGTTGAGGCTGGTGACGGTACAGAAGAGGGTTATAGTTCCTCACACTTGCAATCCCAGTGTTCAGGGGGCTGAGGGAGGAGGATCACTGCAAGTTCAAGGTCTGCCTGAGCTAGAGTGGAGACCTACTAAAAAAGAGGGGTCAAACTCTTCTAGAAATAGGGGTGGTGTCTTAGAGGAAGTGACATTGTTTGGCTTTGGCAAAAGAATGGGAGTTGGGTGGAGAAGATGGGGGGAGCCCTCTAAAGAGGGAAACATAAAGTCATGTGAGGAAGAAGCTTATGAACAAGTTTGGGGCATTTCAAGCACTAAAATATGGCCTGCTGGGGCTGGAGAGATGGCTCAGTGGTTAAGAACACTGGTTGTTCTTGCAGAAGACCTGGGTTCGAATCCCAGCACCCACATGGCAGCCAACAACTGTCTGTAACTTCAGTTCCAGGGGATCTGACGGCCTCTTCTGTCCTCCGTGGGCATTGCATGACACGGGTACACTTACCTACATGCAGGCAATATACGCATACACAAAATAAAAATAATAAATAAAATATTTTTTAAAAATGGCCTGCTTAGGGAGGGTATGTACTAAGGGAGATGAAGCTCAAAAGATTGGTCATTCTGAGTCAAGGCAGACCTGGACAGCAAAAGACTTTGGGTAGTGATTCTGAACCTCTTCTGGGCCATAGATCTCTTTGAAACTTTGAGTAAAACGAGGGGCTAGAGAGATGGCTCAGTGGTTAAGAGCACTGGCTGCTCTTACAGAGTATCCAGGTTTGAGTCCCAGCACCCACGATTCGATGCCTTCTGACCTCCGTGAGCACTGCACAACATGGGTGCACTAACATACATGCAGACAATATATCCATACACATAAAATAAAAATAACAAAATATTGTAAAAAGTTTGAGTAAAAGCTGGGCGTGGTGGTACACGCCTTTAATCCCAGCACTTGGGAGACAGAGGCAGGTGGATCTCTGTGAGTTCAAGGCCAGCCTGGTCCACATAGTGAGTTCCAGGACAGCTGGGGCTACAGGGAGACCCTGTCTCAAAAAGACCAAAACAAACAAAAAAACATTGAGTAAAACTAGAGACCCGCCCCCCCCAGAATACAATGGCATATCTTTACATGCAATTTTGGGGTGCAATTAGGGGATTACAACCAATTCACTGTCTCATTTATGGATCTCAGAACTCTTGCTCTATAGGCAAAGGTTAGTAGACAGGAGCAAAAGGTTTTGCCTAAAGGAAGCTATAGTCGGTGCCATTGGCGCCCTGCAGTCTCTTGTTATGCTATGGCCAATGTCTCACCTCAGACACTACAGGGTCCACAATGGAATCATTGAGGAATTTCACCATCACAAACTTCTTGAGGGCCATCAGGTTTTTCTTATAGGATTCATTGACACTCTGGAAGAAAAGGGTCATTACCAGCAGGTTCCAGCAGGGGAATTAAAGCCTCTCAGTGCTTTGGGTGACCATTCTGTGAGCAATGGGCTACTTTTCAACTTTCTGCCTAGAAGACACCTTGTGCAGCTTTAAAAAAAACCTATCTGACTAGCTGGGCGTGATGGCCCATGCCTTTGGCCCTAGCAGGCAGAGGCAGATGGATCTCTGAGAGTTTAAGCCCAGCCTGGTCTACATAGCGAGTTCCAGGCCAGCTGGGGCTACAGGGAGACCCTGTCTCAAATAAGTAAATAAATAAATAAATAAATAAATCCTATCTGACTGACATGTCATCAACTATGGCAACCAGATGCTACCATGACACACTCTATATACATTGGTCACTTATGTTAAAGGTTTCAAACCAAAGTAAAATAAACTGAAAATTCTAGGTTATTCTCTGTTATAGGAGTCTATATTATTTTGGGTTTCTTTTTTGATTGTTTTCCTCTTCAACTTCTTAAAACAACAAAACCCTCCAGATAGCCCTCATATAAAGTAAAACTTCAAGTTTACCAGACCCCCCCAAACCATATTCTTGCCTTGGGGCAGTCAGTGTCCTTTGCTGCATCTCTTTTAGGTAAATTTCTCTTCTGAGAAAATGTGCTCAGAAGGACTCCACCTGAAGACTGCCTTTCTGAAAACAGCATCTGTGACTCTCCACTCTGCCCAACGAGCAACCTATTGTAACTTGAGCACTGCCTCTCAGAAACAAAACTTCTGCTTCCTAGGTTTCTGCTCATGGTAGTTTGAGGAAATGGTCACTGCTGATTTCTTTCCAGTGGCCCAAAGACAAAATGGATGCCTGACCGTGTGAGCCGGTTGGGTGCTTACCCTCTCTTGGTTTATGTCTGCCAAGAAGATGCTGTGGTTGCGGTACACGTCCTCCTTTATGGGGTCATGCCAGTATTCTGCTTGCACCAGGCTGAGGTAGGAAAGGAATGGAGGTGACTAGGCTGCTTATCAGTCAGCATGGCGGGACTGTGCTCCAGTGCACAGGCCCCAAAGAGACCAAAAGGACCAGACTCCCTTCACCCCAAGTTCTAGCCTTGGCTAATAATAGGGAATACAAGACTTCTACCTATGAACAAGACCTCTTGCTGACCCAAAGAAAGCCTATTTGGCATAGAATAGAAAGTCCAAAAAGTTTAGGGAAGAGATTCATCAATATTCAGTTTCCTCTGCCACTAAGCATTACCACACATATGCCTTGTGATCCCATGTTCCCACAATCCCACCTCCCTTGCTCTTTTGCTTCTTACTCATGCTGTAAGATAACTCAAACACCTTTGCCTCTTCCTCTCCATCCAATCCATCCAATCATCTATCTATTAGTAATCAGAATGGCATCCTACAATCTGTATTGAGTCAGCTGTGGTGGTGCACACCTGTAATCCCAGCACCTAGAAGGTAGAGGGTAGGGGGAGCTCAAATTCAGAGTTACTCTCAATTATACAATGAGTTTCAGGCCAGCCTGAGCCATATGAGATCCTGTCCCAAAAAAATACATATATGTATATATAAAAA